AAACTCCATAAATAACTCAAGGCCCTATAAATTTTGCCCAAAACTTCTAACCTTCAAAACTAATTACCAGGCAACTGAATAAACTGCTTCTCCCAAACTTGTTTATTAATAACTCTAATTTTTATGAATTTTAAAAACTTTTAAAATATCCTTGGATAAACAAGTTTATATTTCCCCTTTACCAAAACACTGATTTAAAGTTCATGTTTAAAACAACTGTAAGCTGAATATACTTAGAAGTAATTTAGAATCTCAGTGATCACTTTAAGAAAATGAGTTACCATTTTGCACTGTCTTCTCTTTCCTCAGAGGAACTTATGTTTGATGCTAAGAAATTAACTTACTTATGTTGTATAGTATTATATAAACCTGAGTCTGGAGCAGGTCTCACAGGTCAATAGATTTACATAGTTTTCCTGTTTCACTCTGTGTTGAGAACTTGCCTCCTATGTTTGAGTTTCTGTATTTCATAAAGTTAAAGGCTATGGCTAGCAGTTACTGTTTTTCACGAAGCTGTCTTTTTTCTTCCAAAAAAAAAAACCTACTTCGAGCCTGGACTTTTAATAATTACTCTGAAAAACTTTGAATTAATATAATAATTCAAAGTTTATTAATATAAACTTTAAATTAGTATATTTTAAAAGTACACTGAAAAATGACGAATTGTTCATTTTAATTAATATAACAAGATTTTAAAAAGAAACAAATTATCCTAAATAGCTTCTTTAAAGAATCCTATAAAATATGCAGAAGATAAGGTTATAAACAAGATAATTTTTTAATACCTCCAGATGGTACTGTTAAATTAGACTATTTTTCAAAGAACTTACTCTGATTGGTTTAATAATAAACAAGTGTTTATATAAATTAAATAGTCCTAATATTCCGAGGAATTGATAAAAGTAAATTCATTCTAGTAAAGTTTTAATGTTTCATAATATGTCAACTTAAAATACTTTCTAAGATCTTTCTGACTAACTTAAGCTGAATTAAATACATAGAATTTTTTATTAAAAGGAAAGATGGTAATTTTGTCCTACAATGAAAGAGACTGGTTATTCCAAGACATGAAAGAGAAAAGAAGAATTTAGATGGATATACAGACAATAGTAGAAAGTCAGAGGAAACTAAAGAAGAAAGGCTAAATTCATGCCACAGAAAAAAGATATATATACATACGTGTGTGTGTATTTAGGTTTAATAATGAATGTGTTTGCTGCTTAAAGGATTATGCTATGAGAAATACACAACAAAGACAGGAATCTAAAAAGTTAAAGACTTTTTGCTTCATATGATTGACGTTCTTGTTTATTACAACTAAAGGTTTGATGGGTTAGATTGTAATAATTTTTAAAAGCCTTAATATCAACATATAAACAAAAAACCAAGTTTCTCACTTTTAAAGTAACAAAATTTTCTTTAAATACTAGGTTAAAGAGTTAATTTATTCTTTGTGTAATTTGCTTTGAAAACAAGGGTTTGGTCTCTCATTAAAATAAAACTCCTAAGTTAAAACCAAGTTACAGGGTTTTAAAAACTAAGATTCTTTACCTTTAAAATCTCATTTATTTAAATAACTTAAATACTGTTTCTCAGTGATCTATAATAAACCCCCAACAACTTCAAAACTTCATGGTAAGCCTCAAAGGACTTCTTTGTTCTACAAAAATAAAAATAAAAGATAAATGGTTGCGGTAAGATGAGAAATATAAATTGAGGTCAGACTGAAAAATCCCATATGCTTATGGACTAGCTTACGGGGAAAAGGGTAGCCCCTTAAAGTTTTTGAGTAGAAGACATAAACATGATCAAGGCACTGTGAGCAACAGACCCTAGCAGGGAGTGAGTGGAAAATACCAGCTGCTAGACCAGTTAATTAGGAGGTCAACTGTGAAAAATCACTGAAGACAAATTAAAGAAGAAAAAACTTCCACAAATGATGGATGAAAAGAAAAAAATCAACAGACCTTTAAAACTGGGGAGTGTTAATCAAAAATGGTGGTGATGTTTTCTTGTTGACTGGGAGAAATATAAGTACTCCTAAAAGCTACGTGGGAAAGAGATCTAAAAGGGGTTTAATTTTAGAAATGTACAATTTAAGGCCGTAAAAGGCCATTGAAATGAAGTTTCCCAAGAGATCATCAAAAATGGATCACCTGCCAGTACAGCTGGATGGTGCCCGGCTACCACCACTGACTGCTCTGACCAGGATCACAGCAGAGGGTTCTGGACAGAGCTAGAGAAGGATGTAGAACA